TCGAGTTATCACCGTAATTAAGTTTTTGCTAGCTAAAACGCCCACCTGAAATGAATGAGTCATTCAAAACTGAGTAACTGTAAACATTCCTAACTAGCTTTGAAGACCTCATTTCAAATATTGAAGAAAACTGCCTTATGGCTTTGAAATTCACTATTTCAAATGGCATGCTGATAATCGCATAGAAAGATTACATATGTCTGATAGTGATGACGTAAGTATTGCTCATTCCTTTGATCAGTACATTATTTCAAGATTTTTCTGGGGGAAAAAAACATTTTAACTTTAAACGTTTTTGAAAATTTAGATATATAAAATTAAAAATTCACCACCCATTTCCTCTAAATAGTGAGCTTTTGTAAGCATTTAATATTTAACTTAAAAGGATACAATGCTAATTATACAAAATGTCCAGTACAGGGAAATCTATAGAAATATAAAGTAAATTTGTGGTTCCTTAGGGGTTGGGGGAGGAAGGGATGGGAGATGATAGCTAGGGTATAATATTTCTTTTGGAGGTGATGAAAATGTTCCAAAATTGACTGTGATGATAGTTGCACAACTCTATGAATATATTAAAAATCACTGAATTGTATACTTTAGATGGCTGAATTATGCACTAAAACCTTTAAAACATTTGAAAGGAGATATGATTGTACACTTCAGCAAAAGGAGACCTTGTTAGGTGGACACACACATAATCCTACATATGTACATAAACATTGAATCCCATTAATTACTATTCACTTCTAGAGGACGAGGAAAGTTATTGTTCTCATAGTTAAGGTCCTAGAAAATCAATCCCTAGTAGAAAAAGACTACTTCATAATTCTCCATCATTATGATCATCTGAATTCATTGGCTTCAATAATGAAAAACTTAATAAACCTACCACAGGCTTCGGATCAAACACTGGTGTTACTTTCAGTGTCAAGAACAAGAACAAGGTTTGGTGAGACATCTACATACATGGCACAGTCCCTCCCCAAAATTCAACGAATTGGCCAGAATTTGGAGTTCTCATGCAGTGCACTCCCCTGGGGGTGCTAAGGCCACAGTGGACCCCAGAGGGGACCTCACTCCTGCTTTCTAGGCATTTCCCCAGACCCACCCTCTTTTTTAAGTCACATCAATTCCATTCCAGTAACCTTGGGCCATGGAATTCCTGTCCTGAATGACAGCATGTCGCCCCTCGCTGCCCTCCCTTCCTCTGCATCAAACTCCCATTCCTAGTCAAACGCCAGCTGCCCAGAAAGGCAAGCGCAGAGCAACTGCTATGATCCAGAGGGTTTCAAGCCAAAACGGGCTTAGGGTTGAGGAAAGTAGGGGAGAGAACTCTGTTCCAGAGGGGACAGGCCTGCCAGGGGGTACAACATTCAGGTAAGTCAGACAGCCCTGAGTCCGCAGACTAGCCTGAGCCTCATCTATCCCATGTGCTCCCTTCTTTTCAAAGAGCTCAATTTAGGGGCAAATGAACTGGGATAAACTCTCCATGCCCCTGCCTCTAAGAAAACCATTAACCTTTTCTCCAGAAAAATTATATTAAAAAACAAATCCTTTATCCTTTTATAAAAATATTCCTTTGAATAGCTTTACTAACTTTTAGCAAACATTCATGGCCAAGATAAAACGCCTTATTTTTTAAAATCATTATGATAAAACTTGAGTCCGGTAACATTAAAGTGCTAAAATAACATGGCTCGACGTTTTCTAAAATCCTTAAACCATAATGCTAAGAAGCTTTATAATCATTTTTGTTTGTTTGTTTGTTTGTTTGAGACAGAGTCTTGCTCTGTCGCCCAGGCCAGAGTGCAGTGGTGTGATTTTGGCTCATTGCAATCTCTGCCTCCTGGATTCAAGTGATTCTTGTGCCGCAGCCTCTCGAATAGCTAGGGACTACAGGCACGTACCACCACACCCGGCTAATTTTTGTATTTTTGGTAGAGATGGAGTTTTGCCATGTTGGCCAGGCTGATCTCAAATTCCTAGCCTCAAGTGATCCACCCACGTTGGCCTCCCAAAGTGCTGGGATTACAGGTTAGCCATTGCACCTGGCCTATAATCAATTTTTTAAAGAACTACAAGTCACTGATAACCATTAGTAATTCCTATTTAAACACACAGTCAAGGTGAACCAAACACTCAAAGGCCATTTTAAAGAACATCAAGGACCACATTTTAATTTCTTAGCCCCTATCCAGTGCACGCAGAAACTTACGTTCACAGTATAAGCCATGAACTCACAAATTATATGAATTGTAATATATTTCAACTAATTCAATTATATACTTATATAAAGCTTTAAATAGAATAGTTGGTAACTGCCTACTTTATTCCTAACCAACCCACTGTACATGCACAACTTACTCTGCCTCTCTCAAAACAGTACAAATGAAACTGTACAGCAGGCAGCCACTCAGAATCCCTCTGGCTAATAGTACAATCAGTCTGGGTCAGCTTTCAATCTTGATTACAGAACAGGTAGTGAAGCTCCATTATCAGTGCTCTTAAAAATCTTTACCTTCCAGCTGGGCGTGGTGGCTCACGCCTGTAATTCCAGCACTTCGGGAGGCTGAGGTGGGTGGATCACCTGAGGTCAGTAGTTTGAGACCAGCCTGGCCAACACAGCGAAGCCCCGTCTCTACTAAAAATACAAAAATTAGCGGGCACGGTGGCAGGCACCTGTAATCCCAGCTATCTGGGAGGCTGAGAATCACTTAAACCCAGGAGGCAGAGGTTGCAGTGAGCCGAGATCATACCACTGCACTCCAGCCTGGGGGACAGAGCAAGACTCCGTCTCACAAAAAAAAATAAAAAATCTTTCTCTTCCATTAAAACAAAATAATTTAGACAAAAACAAAGGTCTCTATTTTATTCTCCCAGACTTAGGCATACACAAATGGATAACAAAATTAAAGGAATTAATAGGAATTAAGCAAAAATACAACTTGAAAACACACTAGAGTGTAAAAAGAAAAGTAGCTCTTCAATTCCCATATCCTTATACAGTGTATATATTTTAGAAAATCACCTTTTTGAAAGCAATTCAATAGAAACACATATGAGAAGGTGTGAAGAAATAGAACTACATGAGCAGGGCAGGATTCCAAATGGTTTAGGTAAAGTCAAAGAGTTGTGCAACCATCACCCCAAAATGAAACCTCAGCCACATTCACAGTCATTCCCACATCCCTCCAACCTTTTCCCTCTTCTCCAGCCCCAGGAATCTACCTCATAACTCTATAAATCTGCCTCTTCCGGATACTTCATATAAATGGAATCATGCACTATGAGGCCTTTTGTGACTGGCTTGTTCTACTTAGCATAATGCTTTCAAGTCTCATCCATGTTGTACAATGTGTCAATATTTCATTCCTTTTTACGGCCCAATAGTATTCCATTGTACGGATATACTTCATTTTATTTATTCATTTATCAGCTGATGGACATTTAGATTATTTCTACTTTTGGGCTATTCATAATAATGCTGCTGTGAAATATATGTATGTGAGTTTTTGTGTGGACATAGGTTTTCATTTCTCTTGGGCAGATACACCCAGGAGTGGAATGGCTAGGTCATATGGTAACTTTACACTGAACCTTCTGAAGAACTACCAAACTGTTTTCCAAAGCAGCGCCATCGTTTTTCATCCCCAACAGCAATGCATGAGGGTACCGAGTTCTCTAAATCATCGCCAATACTTGTTATCTGTCTTTTTGATTGGAGCCAGCCTAGTTAGTGAAGTGGTAACTCACTGTGGTTGATGCTCTGTATCTTAAACGAAGCCCACACATTCTGAAATGGGGACTCAGCTATTCTTCCAAGTTACACTTTTAAGTATAAAATATGCCCAACTGTCATTCTTAAAACCCAAAATAAAGCTGCATAATCTAATAACCCTTTAATAAGTGAAAATTCCACCTCCATATAACATGCACCATTATTCTACCCCAATAATGTCCAACAGCCTGACCTTTCTACATAAAGATGTCAGGCTAAGACGTCTGTACAAGTGTGAGTGCGGTAGTGGAATACTTGAACATACAACAAAGTTTTTGTCTTTCAAAAAAGAACACTGGATTGGAACTCAGGTTTGTCAATAATCTATGCGTAACCTGATAAATCACTGAACTTCTCTACACCCAAGCACGGTGATCTGAGCCGCTCACAGAACTACATCCTCTGAAGTCACTCCCAGATACAAAGTTGTTTAAGCCTGAAAGTTTAATGAAATTTGAAAATGTACACACACCCGTGCTAAAGAACTAGCTTTGCACAGCAGAAAAAAAATTTACCCTTAGTAGTCAGATGGGCTGGGTTCAATTTCCAGGTCTGCCATTTAGGAGCTGTAAGGTACATTATTTAGCATCTTTATATTCCAGTCTCCTGGCCCGCTTCAAGAGGTTATGAAGATTCACTAAGCTGCTATAGCCAGAGCGTGTGACATAGCCGCCAGCAAAAGTAGACATTTAAACGCTAGCTTCTGTCCATCTTTCTGCTAACTCTGGGCAAAGTTTCCCAGCAAATGAAGACCTCTTAACAATTGTCGTAGACCACTGACAACTGAATGTGAGTCCTTGTGACTTGTGGGATTCCCTGATGAAGCACGTCCCCCACAGTACGGTCTGCAAATTGCTAAAGAGAGCTATCAACTGGCTTAAAACAAGGCTAGAAGGGGGTTCCGGGAAGGAAGCCCAGGCATGAAAAGAGCAGAGACCTCGTTTTTGTCGGTGACATGAGAGGGAAAACTTCTCAGGGCTCACAGGCAGGCTGGGCGCAGAACGGATGCGCAGGAGAGGACGGTGAGGGCTGCGTTCGCACGAGCCCATTGGAAGCGCGGGGCTGCACTGCGGGCTGGCGGGGTGGGGAGGGGGCCGCGGAAGGCTCTGGAGACGGACCCGGGCCGGCCAGGTGCGCGACCAAGCCCCGCGCAGGAGGGCGAGCCCCTTCCCCGCTGCGACTCCACCGCCTTCCGCGCGAGCCGGCCGCCTTCTCCTACCTGATCTGGTTGTCGCGGAATTTGTTGAGATGCGGTTGGTTGAGGTAAATGGTGCGGGCGGGTGCCTCCAGCTGGTCTCCAACAGACGTGGCCCGGGACATCTCATCCTCTGCCTTCTTGTAGCCCAAAGAAGAACGAACTGGTCCTGCAGAGACAGGGCGCAGGCAGAGAATACGACACAAAGAAGTCAACCGCCAGGCGGGAGGCGGCGAGCGCGGGCCGCGGGCGGGCGGCCACCGGCGGGGAAGGATGCTCGGGTGAGGCGGGCGTCGCCTCTGTATCTCGGCTCCCCCTGGAGACGCCGCCGCCGCCGCCGCCGCCGCCGCAGCCCCGGCCGGCCCCGCCCCCGGCCCCGCCCCGCGCAGCCCCCGGCGCTTGTGGAGCGAGCCCCGCCCCGGGTGAGCCGCCCCCAGCTCCTGCGCTCCCTCCCTGCAGGGCCCTGGCCGGGCTGGACGCCCAAGCTGTGTGCGGGGCCGGGGAGGCTGATCGCGCGGGGGCGCCAAGGCCAGCGGCACCCCCAGCCATCTGGCCGAGCGCACCCTCTAGTCCTGGGAACTGAGCTCTGGAACTGGGTTTTCTGGGCTCCTTTGATCTTCCTTAGGAACAGAGACAGCAGCAATGGAAATGCACCCTGTAAGCAGCCACCGCAGAAAGAGATGGCGAAAGCACAACTCTGGGCAGTACAAATGGGCTTCCCAGACCCCAGGGTGAAGAGCTTGCTCCTACCATGGTCTGCAAGGGATCCGCTGCTCTTCTCCCTCCAGGCACCTGGAGAACTGAGTACACTAGCTGTCCCAACCCAGCTCTGGACCAGCGAGCGAGCTTTCATTTTATTGCTTAAATTACTGTTTCTGTGGTTACGTGGCACGCCAGCCTAGCTCAGTACTTGATTTCAGTCCTATGGGTCAAGCCTTTTTGGGTGGCCCCAAACCCCCGCCCCCCAATAACCTTCACTTGAGACGTTCCAGCCTAGACCTAGAGAAGGATCCAGTTATTACTGAAACTGGTACAGGCACGTAGATCTTAACCTCATCTCCAACTCTAAAGCAGCATCCCTTGTTAGAAGGGGCTGCCCAGCTTGAGAAGTGACCTTCAGAGGAGAGGTGTCTTTTCAGAAAAATTAATACCCTACAGATGAAGCCTTATCTTGTTTTTCTTAAATATACATTAGCCCTCTAATACTTGCCATGCTTTCCAACTATCAAAGAAACGGACGTTGCACATCATTAAAAAACTGACATCTTACACAAGCAAACCTTCACTTCCCTGTTACAAAGAATACTTTTCACTGTCATAGAGAAACACTTTGAAAGTTTTGGCTACATCATCTTTTTCAAGTGATTAGAAGGATGATAATCTTTATCCTAAGAAAGGGACAAGCGAAACGTAAACTCGTTTACTGAAAGTTGACATATTATTCTGAATATTAAGTAAGAGTTAAGTCTGAAATGGGCTAAGGCTTCTTCCTTCACCCAGATGGGGACGCCTAGTGGATGCAGGCTCCAGGGCTCAAGTCGGGTCCCTGGTCACAGGCCAGGCACACTCCAGTTTTCCTCTTGCTTTCTGTGTGTGCCCACAGTACCCTGGCTATTCCTCACTCAGACATGATCCCTCACCTCCTTCCCTCCAACCTCCCACTTTCGGGGGTCTTTCTGGCTCCACTGGACACTGCTTGGTCCACTACTCATCAGCAAGCGGCAGCAGAGAGCAAGAATCCCTTCTCCAGACTGTCTGGCCCACCAGCTGGGGCGCCCGGACTGCAATAAGGGAAAGACAGGTGTTGGAGCATTTGCTGATGTAAGACAGATGGAGAATATTTTTGAAGCTAGCCTATATGGAAGTATTGCTTTTCTCTCTGCCCACTTACCCTGCCTTGTCTTCCTCCACAGTACCAGATATCATCATTACCTGAGTTTATTTATGGATGCTCTGTCTTACTGCACCTAGGAGCCCAAGCTCCAGAACAGTAGGGACAGGCTGGGTTCACTGAACAGAGCTTGGTCAAAGTGGTTCATTGCTCACCGAGTGGCTCTCAGTTCCCCTGTGCATTCGTATTACCAATGCAGCTCTCACAACGTTCCTGGGCCCTGCCCTCTCAGATTCTGTGGTCACTGTGTTTTGTTTCTCAAGCTCACTAAGTGATGCTGATGAGCACCCAGTCAGGATCACTTGTTAGATGCCGCCGAGAACACAAAAACAAAAGATCAGGTTCCTGCCCTTGAAAATGTTCCCTCAATTAAGGCATGAAGGTGTAACCCTGGTTACTCACCAGTGTGTGACTAAGAGTGGGCCCAAAGGTGCTAAGGAGGCTCAGAGGTCAGCAGCTTCTTTGTGCTGGGGGAGGGCAGGTGGTGGAATAGATTCTGAGTACAGACAGTAGAGCCTGGCAATGTGGGTGAGGTGTGGATTAGGAAAGGGAAGGGCATTGTGGGCAAGGGCAAGAAGAGCTTAAGCAAAGGCCCAAGCATACAAAATGGTATTGGGGCCAACTAAAAAAACAAATCAACCCTGAGGGTCCAAACTGGGAAAAAGGAGAAAAGAAGTTCACCAAAAAAAATAGCCTGTGGCCAGACTGTGGATGACTCAATGTCAAGCACAGAAGCTTGAACTTCATCCTGAAGGTCACAGGAGGCCACAGAAGATTTCTGAGCCAGAGAGAAGAGCATCCGGCAGTGACGGCAAAGGGGGAACAGCAGGAGAGGAGAATATACAGATAAGGGGACCAGGTAGGAAATAAATTCTACAATCTAGAAGCAAGATGATAAAAGCATGAATTAAATGGAGGATGGGATAAAAGGATGGACATGAGAAACATCTCGAAAGAAAACCCTGAGCTGGGCATGGTGGCTCATGCCTGTAATCCCAACACTTTGGAAGGCCAAGTTGGGAGGATTCCTTGAGCCCAGGCGTTTGAGTCCAGCCTAGGCAACATAGCAAGACCTCATCTCTACCAAAATAAAAAAAGAAAGAAAGAAAACTCTGCAAGATCTCTGGGGAGGTGAGGTTTAAATGTGTGCACCAGAAAAGGAAGAAACACGAGACCACTGAGGTTGGAAGAAGACTGGGACCAAAAAAAAAAAATCACTGATAGAAATAATAACAAGAACAATAACTTTTCCAAACAAGAATTTAGATGTTGGATAACAAATATTGTAATGAAAAAAAGTATTGACACGAGTAACTAGTGATGACAGAATGAAGTGGAATAATATCTCCCACTTACCTACCTAGCATGCTTCAGGCCAACACAGCTTTCTATACCACCGCAGGGGAAATCTGGGGATTTTTTTCTAGGTAGAAATAGTTATACCACCCCGCACCTGTCCCTGAGATTCAGATAAATTTTTTCTACCTCAGTGGCCTCATCTCAACCTAACCCTGTATTAGAGAAAAACATTAATATTTTCAAAAAAAATTGTGGAAAACATATTGCCTAAGGAAACATTATACCATCTACAGCAAAGCACATTATGACTAAGGTTTCAAATTCAGACTCATGAGATAATTCTGAGTTAATGCATTTTGCAAATACCACCACATAAAATGAGTATACGCTTACACCTCCCCCATATAATCAGGCGCCGTGTCAGCAGAGAGTGGGAGTTCGATAAATATCTATTAGTTGAGAAAGAAACCAAAGGGAAGGGAAAGAACTAAGAGAACAAGAGTAAGCAAAGAGAAAAGCACTAAATTTGCCCCCACCCTGCAAAGTGGAAATGCAGACAAGACAGTGGAAGGTCAAGGCCATGAGGGCAGAACTTCGTCTTGTTCACAGCTCCATCCCTGGATAGAGTGCCCTGGATCATGCCTAGCACACAGTAGGCAGTCAGAAACAATATGTCAAATGAATACATAAGAGGCTAATGTAGTAGGTGCCTTTTAAAGGCACCTACCCAGTCGCTGAACCAGCCCTTCCCTTGTCTGTCTCCCTTGAACCAGACCTCTTTCCTCATACAAGCCAGGCAGCCCACGAGCTGGGTCATACCGTGCAATCCCGTCTACTTGTTACAGCTCTTTGGACCAGGGATGGTTACTTGGTCCAAATTGGGCCACCAAGGGTCTCTCTCCTGGGAACTTTGACATGGGAACTAGTAAGGACCATTTCTGCATGTGGCTGACCTATTAGCGTACACACACCAGGTCTCTAGATGGCCATCTTCTACCTCTGAGTGGACCAGGAGACAGAGAAAGGATTTTGTTTGAGATAGAGATGAGGCAGCTGCATGAAGAACAGCCCCAACAGTTTTTTGGGTCCTAGGTCCGGTCCTCTCCAAGATCCCAGCTGCACTAGGGGGTTTGGGTTCCATGAGCCACCACTGGATCATTCTATAAACTTCTCATAACCACATATCTTAACTAGTATGGTAAAGCAGTATACAGAGAACCTGTTTTCCCCTATAAGATGGAAAAGCAAGAAGGGTTAAAGAGGAAGGACAAATTCCTATTGACCTGTAGATCACCACCAGGTGCCCAGGATTTTAGATAATCTGGCACAGATGCTGTTAGATGCCACAACCCAGACCCAGGAGGCTGAATCTGACAGAGGAAAGTTTTCACGGCAACATCTGGGCCAGCAGGTTTTGATGAAGCCCCAAAGTGGGTGGGAAGTGCAAGACTAATGAGATAAGCACCCCTGTCCTCCTCCTGCTGCCTTCCGAGTTTCTGCCCAGGGTTGGAGAAAGAACAGAATGTTAGGAAATCGAGAGAGATGGTAGAGAATGCCCCCCAGAGACCACAATAAGAGGACAAGTGAAGAACAGGGAAGGGCAGAGGAGAGCAGATCGGTTACAGCAGACACACCAGTGACCCACAGAAGCATGAGGGGGTGGCAGGGGAGGGACGCTCACTAAGCTGCTCCAGTGCTGCCAGCCGCTCACCTTCCACCAGCTCTAGCTCTCTGGTTGATGCCTCCTCCATGTACTTCGTTCACTTCATTGTACAAAATGTATATTCTCATATTTTCAACCTTCTAAACACGATTGGTCATGTTTTTCATTTCACTGAATGACTCAGATTCCTCATCATTTCACTCACTTAGAATGTGTGTGTGGCAACAAGAATGTGGAAGTCACTGGCGAGGAAGCAGGGACAATGGCGGACCTCACGTTGTCAGGGGAGCAGGTAAAAGTGAGGACAACACCCAGT